CAAAATAATTTAAAAATGCGATGCAAAACTCTATGAACTCTAAAAATGTAGAGGTCTTCAGGAGGTCTTATCCCTGTTGACACCTGGCATTTTAGGGCCTCTCTTGGAGGAACTGGATGCACAGAGCTGAGCAGGGATACCCAGAGAATGCTGGACTGTCATGGGTATAGGTGGTTTTATAAAATCACATTGCCCAAGAGTTGAAGAAGACATTCTTTTCCCTTTATATGACATTTACCCCTTGATTATAAAATAAGGAAGACTATTTGGAAGCCAAGGGGCAGTCTGCTTACTCTGATGCTGATGGCGCTGAGCCACACTCAAACAGGTTTAGTCTGCTGTCCCAGAGGCTTCCTTTTAAGTCAAAGCATCCACTTGTAGTGGCAAGTGAGGACAAACAATCAGGCGAATGACTTCACACTGGCTTCTTAGGAAGGTGCACAAGAAAAACAGATTCCTGAATGTAAGGACGAAACTCTATCAACTTGTGCCATTGGGCAAGGTCTCTGCTGACAGGCCTGACTGGATGGACAGACTGACGTGATTTCTCTGCTTGTACCGGGTACAGTGGCCGGGCTTTAGGAACCGAGGATATAGTCATTAGAAACAGAAGTGCAGCATCCTGATCCCCGTCAGTGGGAGGAAAACCTGAATGACTTCAACTCTCTGGGTCTTATCCCTCCTGACACCTTCCATTCCAGCCTCTCCTGTAAGTATCGGGTGGGCAGAGCTGAGTGGGGTACCCAGAGAATGCTGGCCTGTAATGGGTTCATCTGAGCCCCCATCCCAGGCTTCCACCAGCAGGGAAGAGGCCTTTCCTGGTCTTTGTCAAGGGGCCATACCCAGTGCTAGGCCAGGGGAGGGTCAGCAGGATCCAGCTTGTTTATTTCACCTCGACACTGGCACTAGTCAGCTCTGGGCTTGGCACTGAGATCAGGAACAGCGAGATAGGAGACAGTACTATGGTCCCTTGACTGAGCACTGGACATATACTTCCTCCCCACCCAGAGCAAAGTGCACTGATCTATGCTAATCTGGTTAGGTTCCCACAGCCAGTGCACCACCCTGTGACCGTTGGGAGTGAGAGCTGGAACTCCAAATACCTGAGAAGCGGAGGCAAAGCCCTTCTCCAGCATGGGCATTAAACCTGTGGCTTTCCACCAGGTCTGATCCCGAGTACCTGCAGTGTTTTATCTTCTTCCTCTGTCACTCCCTGGGTTCCCCCTCAACCTCCTGTTATCACATGGGGCCCATCTCAGGTCTGGAGACCCCTTACCTTCTGGGGGCCTGGGGGTGGCGTAGAGATGATGGCTTAGTCCCAGCACAAAGGAAGGAAGGAAATCCCAGACTGGGGACCTCTGCACCTCCAAGTTATGGACCTGGACTGGCTTTGGCTCCAGTTGGATGCCAGCAGCCGGTCTCCCCACTGATATGGAAGCCTTGAAATTCAGCCAGGAGCCTGCAGACAACAGGGGCAGCACTATGCCTGGAGAGGCCTGATGGGAGACTTCCTACTGTGCCCCATCCTCCCCTCGGGCCTCCCATCCTGAGGGAGCTGCCTCTGCGTCTCCCACCGCTTGGCTCCTCATTCATTAAAAGCTCTCAGAGTGCTCTACCTGATGAAGAGACTTCAGGTATCCTGTAAATCAGAATCAAAGAAACAGAACAGTTCTTTGTAGCTTGAATCTGGTGGCTTAAACAATATGCTCTGAACATCCTGCGGCCTTTGGTGTTTGCTTACCCTTTGCTGATTTAGCCTAGGCCGCTTGGCTCCGAGGCTGTACCAGCCAGTGTGAAAGAAGTTTTGCTAGTGTCCCCCAGCTGCCCCCGCCAGCCAGCACGACCTGTTTCCAGCAAGGTCCGTGGCGCTCGGGCCATCTGTTCCTCCCGCCCATTCTGAGAGGCCTGTCCCTGCAGGGGCCCCGCTCAGCGTACCCAGGTGGAAGGCCCAGTTTTCACAACGAGGGTGGAACTGGGTGTGTGAGGCCTCTGGGGGCAGCAGCTGAGCCAGAGCGTCTTTCCTGCCACATTCCCAGGCTGTCTCTGAGTGACAGCACAGCACTTCACGTTCCATGGGCTGCACCACTCCCCTGTCCTGTGCAAGGTCACCTGAGTGTCCTGCGTGTCTAGCGTGCACACACATAAACTCCCACACTGTCACACACACAACCACACACGCACAGTGCCCGAGGCAGTGTGTCCTGGCAAGAACCAGCAGAGCCCAGAGAGGTCCCTGATGGGAACTGGGGGCAGCTGCTGTCCGTGGCGCTCGGGCCATCTGTTCCTCCCGCCCATTCTGAGAGGCCTGTCCCTGCAGGGGCCCCGCTCAGCGTACCCAGACGGAAGGCCCAGTTTTCACAACGAGGCTTCTTTCAGAGCTGGATCTTTGGAAGGTGCTTAGAAACGGAGGTGGCTTGGGGAGTGGTCTGAGCTGCTCCCCGAGAGGAAGGAGAATCTTCTCTGCAGACCTGAACATTCCTCCTCACACCCTGTCCACAGCTCTGGGGGAGTCTAGTCAGCATGTGACCTATGGGGAGGCTGGGAGGAGGCCAGTGAAGGGAACCAGAGGCTGTGGGTGGACTGGGACACGGTGGACCAGACTGTGTCTGCAGTGCCACAAGAGTAGAAGGGTGTGGCCTTAGTGATGTCCCTGATCCTGGTGTCGCCTTTCTGCCAAGCAGCTCAGCCTGAGGCCCCCTGCAGCACGCCACGCAGTGCTGTGAGCTCATTCCCTCATGCCCTACGCTGGATAGCAGGGTGACCCCACCCTGGTGTCCTGTTTCTTACTCCCAACAATCCCCCAGCTGGCCTCATCTCCCAGAGGAGCACTCCAGGTTGAAAAGGCTGCGTGACTGGGGGGGTCTTCAGGGAAGAGGGCCTGAGGCCATCTGCATCACTGCTCTGCCCCAGCCATGTGGCCAACAGTCGCTATTCTACCCAGTCTCTGGCCTCGGATTCAGACCCGACCCAAGCAGGGCTAGAACTGGGGAGGGGGCGCCTTTCACATGGAATGGGCTGGTCAGTGTCCACATCTCTCTCTCTCTCTCTTTTTAAAGATTTATTTATTTATGCATCTAAGAACTGAGGTGTAGGCCAGAGGTGTGGGAATTGAGAGGATTCACCAGAGGGAGAGGTGGGGAGCATAACTAGCAGATCTTACCAAAATACCCTGCTGAGGGGAGCAGCGGATGAGACAGGAGAGGTCTACTGCACCTCCCCGGCCCAGATTAAACTCGTGCCACAGTGGCTGGTGGTAGCTTGGTAGTGCTGTGTCTTTAACCCCTGTGCCACCTGGGAGCCCCTCACAACCTGTTTCTCTTGAGTCTGCCTTCCCGACCTCCTCAGCTCCCGGGTCTGCTCCAGAGCTGCCATGTACCATCAGCAGAGGGTTTTCCTTCTGGTCATAGAGATGTGTCCTTCCTGACCTTGATTTTGAGCACGTTGAGTGTGGAGAGGGAGGCAGCTGTTGCATCCTTTGTTCTCCTCCCCACCCCCCTAGACTGGAGATGATTTGGGAGGGGTCCCAAACAGAACCTTGAGCTTTTACCTTGACAAACTTGAAGTGCATCAAGGTGGGTGTTGACACCGTGGTTCCAACGTCTTGCTGCCAACAGCCAGTGGGTGTGACCTTGAACATATCCCATCCCTCTCTGGGCTTCAGGGTGTTTGTGTCTCAGGTCAGGGCTTGCTCTTGCCCCCAGAGGTTGCCATTGTAGTTGGTCAAGAGTGAGGACCTTAGGATTCCTCTTTTCCCTCTGATGACATGATGGGTGGTACGAGGGAGCATAGGATGCTGTGTATTCTGAAAGGAAGGGTCTATAATACTACTAACAGGGTCTGGTATGTGCCCAGCATCCAACGAAACACTTTTGTTCTTTTAGTTTATTTAAATCTCACAATATCCCTCTCAGGCAGAGAGGACCTCCCTCCGCATTCTGCATGCAAGGAAATAGAGGGTCAGAAGTTAAATGAAGTGCCCAAGACTGACTGGCGGCAGGGCCTGCTCTTGGCCAGCACAACCCCACTCAGCCTAGTCTTTGACCCTAGAGCTGAAAGGTATCTTAAAGATAGAACTGCAGGGTTGGTTCGCCAGTGGGAAACTGAGGCAGAGAGAGAAAGGAAGGGTGTCAGTGTCTGCAGTGGCAGGACGAGGCCTGGACCTGGGACCCTGTGTACCCCTGTGGGCACCTCCCCCGGGGATTGGCTGGCTCCAGAACTGAGAATGCCCCCTTTGTGCCAACACAATCTCTGATGATACTCGAGTCTCCTTGCTCTGAAAGCTCTGATTGTGGCTGTGAGTGTGGAGCTGAACTGCCCACACTCCCGCCCCTGCCCCTGCCCTCTGTGGGGCCTTTTGTGCTCCCGGATCTCGGCACAACAGCAGAGCTGTTGATCAGAAGGCCCAGCGTGAGCAAGGGAGGGCGGCCTGCCAGGTGCTTCCCGGTGGGGATTCGCCCAGCCGGAGCTGGGAGGTGGGCTCTTTCGCCTGCGGGCCCCAGTGCTCACAATGATGCAGAGTGGTCCATGTGGGAAGTCAGGAGACGTGATTTCCAGTCGTGGCCAGCCTGCTGTGTGACCTGGGATGAGCCAGGCCACCTCTTTGGGCTTTTTCTGTAACATAAAAGGTCGGGTAGTAGAAAAGAGTGGAGAGGAATCTGGAAGGCATAGGGAAGATTCCATTGCGGGCACCCCTGGCAAAGCTGCTTTGGGGCCCTACCCCCAGGGGGCACTACACTCTTGGGGCCTGGCTATCTGCTCTGTACTGGAGACAGGTGAATCCCTCCTGCCCAGACATGGCAGAGGAACACAGGCATCCAATGTGCACTGGGGTCTCAGAGCTGGTGCGCGGGTGGGGAAGTGCTGGGCATTCAGAGCAGGATTAGAGCGGTGCTCCATGCAGGGGGGGCCACTGGGCGTGTGGACAGTATCCTGGGCCTCTGGGAAATCTTGGGTCAAACTTGGGTTGTTGGCCTTTTCCTTTGTAATTTCTCCTCTCATAGACCATCGACTTTCTGAATGACAACATTCGAAGAGGAATCGTCAACTATTACGATGATCTGGACTTCAAAAACATCATGGACTTTGTTCAGAAGAAGGTGAGCCAGGTGCTGTGGGTCAGAGATGTGCCTCCTGTGCTCTTTCGTCTAGCCTGCCCTCCCCCCAGCATCTAGGACACTGCTCAGGAGGAGGAGGGTGAGGGTCACGTGACTTATCCGTTCCCACAGCAGGTGAGGGGCAAGGGTGGGCTGTGGCTCACTGCTGAGGGTGGGAAGCTTGGCGCCCAACCTTCCTCACCAGACCTCTGCCCACTTGCCGGGGCCCAGAATGTCCTTGTCCTACTTGTCTCTCCCTGTACATGGACACACCCCCTAAAAAAAACAAAACAAAACAAAACAACAACATAAGGTCAGGTATAGCTAAAGGCCCGGGGCCCCTCTCCACTGGTCAGAAATCCTCTTTACCTGAAGTGGGGAAGAACTCTAAGTCACTCTGTAAGAATTCCTTTTGCTAAGTACTTTCAGAGATGGGGTTCATTTCCTGCCAAATCTAGGACAACCCCCGTGGGCGGAACTCCCCTAATTCCATTTCTCCCTGCAATGGGGTCAGAACAAGCCTTTTCTATTGACCTCTGGGACGCTTCTTTGAATGTGATGACTGTCGGTTTTGACACTGTCCCTCGTCTCCTAGGTCCACCCAGATCTGTAGCAAAACCAGCCACTGCCCTTGCTGGCTTCTACACATCAGTGCCATTTAGGAACCTCAAGTTTCCACCAGCATCCGGGGACATTGGTGGTCCTTTCCACTGGGTGTCAATTGCTCGACTTAACTGAGAAGAGCTTCAAGCTATGCCAGCATGTCATGAAGCCTCCCCTCCCCCCATAAGTACCAGCTGCAGTGCCAATTATGGTCGTGTTCTCCTGGGTGAGGATTAGCAAAGTATGAGGCTTGTGGACCACTCAGCCCTGGCAGCGCTTCCTGGACAGAGCGCTGGGGACTTCAGTGCCCTGGGCCTCAATCTAGTCCTCAGTGGGGTCAGTATCTCGACACTCCCGGGGCCATGCACAGTGGCCACTCCCTTGGCTGAAAGCCTTCACTGTGGTCATAACAGGTGCATCCTCTGGGAGGCCCTTCTCTGCCAAGGATGTGTCTGCCAGACTGCTGAGTCCTGCTTTGGGTGGAGCAAGATGTTTTCATTGGAAGCAGCCTGTCATCTCTCCTGGGTGGGATGGAGTTCACTGGGCACCTGCTTGGTGCCAGACCCTGTGCCAAGGGCTTCATGCATGGCCTCTCTTTGTAATCCTCAGCTCAGCTGCATAAAACAGGTCTCCTCTTCCTGCTATACAGATGAGGGTCTGAGGCTCAGAGAGCCTCAATTTCCTGAAGTCACACAGCTAGGAGTAGTGGTGTGAGAATTTGAACTCCAGTATGATTGCAAAGCAAATGCCCTTTGCACTGTACTACAGAGAGGCACATTCAGGTCCTGAAATCTGATAGCCTAAGAGGCTGGGGGTGGGGGGATGGGGCGGCTGTGGAAGAGGTTTCAACCAGGACCTCCAACCATCTAACTCCGCTAATTATACCCTGCATGACTCCCCATCACTCATAACGCACCCCCAGCTCCCTGCTTATTCTGGCTGACAAGGCTTGGCACGGTTCGGCCTATGCCCCCTCTCACCCTCACCCCTCCACTGTTGCTCACTGCGGACACGCTGACCTCTGCCTGCTCCTGAAATACCACCGGCTCATGTCTGCTTGTGGCTTTTCTCTGTTGTTCATGTTTCAGATTAAATGCCTTCTCCTCTGAAGGGACTTCCCTGACCTTCCAAGCTAAGGCAGCCCCTCCCCCACTGTTTCCTCCTGTTTTTCTATATCCCTGGTGCACAGCTCTGCCTCTCTGGCCTTTTCCTGGAGTGGCTTTGCCCTGCCTCCCTCCTCCAGAGCGAGCCCACATAGGCAGGCTGTGTTCCTGCTGCTCACGCTCAGGGCCAGAGTCAGCGCTGTAGAAGAGCAACTGCTTCTATGCCCATGCGGACGTGAGCGCTAGCATGAGTGAGCGGTGGGGGCGTGGGGGCTGGGGAGCCTTTGTTGAGGCAAGCCATGCATAGCTGGGTGAGAGGGAGGTCAGTGTGGTATGGGGGCCACTGGGCTGTGGGGGTGTCCGTAGAATCCGAGTCTCTGGATCTTAAAGGCCAGTTTATCCTGATACCTGCCCTGGGGCCTCAGTGATGGAGTCCAGTTGTCAAGGAAGGACCTGCCCTGGCTTGGCCTCTCCAGTGCTGGGGTGCTCACAGCCTCCTGGCAGTCCTGCTGCTCATGGAAAGCATCCAGCTGACCCTGCAGCTCCCCCTGCCAGGGTGACCCATATAATACATCCGTGTCCGGCAGGGCCGCCGCCTGGGGCCTCAACAGTGACGCTGTCTCCCTTCCCTGCTTGCTTCCTCCCTCAGTTCAAGTGCTGTGGTGGGGAGGACTACCGAGACTGGAGCAAAAACCAGTACCACGACTGCAATGCCCCCGGACCCCTGGCTTGTGGGGTGCCCTATACCTGCTGCTTCAGAAACACGGTACCCACTGCTTCTGGGGCTGGCAATGTGCGGGTCACGCACCTCGCCTGCTTCTGGGAGAGGGGTGGTGTGTGTTTGATGGGTGCATGGGGTGGGTCGGCAAGCGGTGATGGCCACTGCCAAGGCTTTCTGAGCCTCAAGGGCTACTAAGGGGGAAAGCTGGGGGGAGGAAGGGTGGGTGGGAGGCCTTGTCTTTACTAGGAGTACAGGTTAACATCTACTGTACACATTCTGCATGCAGGCCTAGTTCTTTAGAAGGAAGTCTAGCCTTTCATCAACCTTGAGAGGTCAGTCCTGTTATTTTACTGCTGTCCAGATGCAGCAAGCTGGGTGCTGAAAGGATGGAACCTTGCTCACAGTGGAGAGAGCGGGGTGAAAGCAGGCAGCCATGCTGGCACTGTGCTCTGGACTACCAGCCAGGCGAGGAGCTGGAGGGGGTCCAGGCCAGGGGCCTGAGCTGGCGTAGCCGGTTCTGCAGCATTAGCTGAAGATAAAGCAGGGCCCACACTTTGGGCATCTATAGGGGATTGGGAATTGAGCTTCTGGTGATCATCAGTGACAGCACTCTCGGAAGCAGGGGGCCTGGTGACCTCAATGCCAGTCTCCACCTATCCCCAGCAGGATTGGGTTGGTCCTGTCACGTCCCTGACCCGCGTGGGGCTGTGCCATGCAGTCAAGCTGATGGATGAGAGCCCTCATCAGTCCTCTGTGTCTAGCTAACGTGTCCGGAAACTGCCTGGGTTCTGGGTTGGAATGAGGCAGAGTGCTCTGCAATTACTCATGCCCTGAACAGTCATGGAAAATTTCTCTTCTGACTGCTCTGCCACCCTGTGCCTGTGGCTGGATTCTGTAATCCAACAGCTGCCACGGAGGTAGAGGCCTTACGCATGAGTCAGGGAGCCTATGCCCGGAGCACGAACCTGAAAAATGGCTGCACCCGGAGGAGCGGCTTGTTTGGAAGCTTTAGCTGTCATTTTAGGGTAGCTCTCTAGGCAGCTGGGTGGCACTGTGTTTTTAGAGAGGCCTGCACGGGGATGGTCCTGAACTTCAAGACCCAAAGTCCAAGCTGAGTCCCGGACGTCCAGTTTGTATTCACTCAGTCACTCACTCAACATGTATTGACCCTCCTGTGTGCCAAGAGCTGGTCTAAGGGTATATAATAGACACACAGAATTCTGCCCGCACGGAGCTGATGTTTTAGGGGGGAAAGCAGACGAACAAAATAAATAACTAAGAGAGATAGTATGTTAGGAGGGGATGATAACTGTTAAGGGGAAAAGTAAGGCAGAAGCATGGAAGATCGCAACTTGAGATACTGAGAAGGTGGGTTCTGGGTAAATGACTGAAGGAACGAGGGAGTCTCCTGTGAGGGCGGTGGGGGTGGGGGCGACATTCCTACCAGCGGGCAGCAAGTGTCGGCCTCCGAGACAGGATTGTCCTCAGACGACTGTGTTTGACAAGTGGCAGAAATACTGGTGTGACTGGAGCAGAGGGAGAAGGTGGGCGGGAAGGAGGGTGGTCGCAGATGATGTCAGGTGCCCGGGAGCCACTGCCAGGATTGTGGCAACTCCCTAAGGGACGGGGACTTCCATGACAGCACTTCAGGGGCTCCGTGGCCAATCTGACTTGGGCTTTGCCAGGATTGACCGCCTGTAGCAGGGTTAGGGTGGACAGGGAGGCCCAGCTGCAGTGGCCAGGTGGCTCCAGGCCAGGCCAGGCTGTCCAGGAGGCTGGGCGGGAGGTGCTGTGGGGACAGACACCTGTGAAGGAGGTAACAGAAGCAGGGGAGGGCAGAGGGCAAAGAGTGGTGACCCTTGGAGGCCTTAGCCAAATCTGCAGGGTGATCTGGGGGACCCTCGTTATCTCATGTGTGGGCAAGGGAGCCGGGCCTTCATCCCCCACACTGAGAGGCATTGTGTGAATGCAGTGTTTTCCCCACGGGGGGCACTTCCTGGCTTCGTTCAGCAGAGGTGGATCAGTTGGGGTTCCTAGAGAAATAGAATCAATATGGTGAATGTGTGTGTGTGTGGTGTGTGCGTGTGCATGTGTCTGGGTCAGAGAAGGGGGGAGGGAGAGAGAGAAGACATTTATTATAAGGAATTGGCTCTTCTGATGGAGGCAGGCGAATTCTAAGAGCTGCAGGATGAGTCAGGAAGCTGGAGACCCAGGAGAACCAATGGTTTTCTTCCAGTCCAAGGCTGAAGGCCTGGAAACCAGAAAGCTAATGATGTAGTTCCTGTCCAAAGACCTGCAGGGTTGACACCAGGAAGAAGCAACAGTTTGTGCCTGAAGGCATCAGACAGGAAGAGCTCTCTCTTATTTGGGGGAGGGACATCCCCTAAATAAGGCTACTAAGGCCTTCAACTGATTGGATAAGTCCCACCCATCCTGCTTTATTCAGACTGGGATTTATATCTATATTTTTTTCATCCAAATGGGTTCTCCCTGTGCCTCCACATATAGATGATTTTACTCAATGTGAAAGAGGGTGTTTCATTCCTTGGTAGATGGTTCCATTTGTATATGAATGTATTTTACACTAGTTCACTTAACAAAGGAGCCGAGTGTGCATATGGGAAATTGCATGGAATAAAAAACAAATTTTTTTAAAAATCAGGACCATGGAAAATATAGTCTAAAATAGTAGATCTAGGGCATAAAGAAGCATGTATCATACTGATACATAGGCCCAAGTCTCTATGAAATCACTGGAAATGAGCCACATATTTGTAGCTTAGAGCTTCCTGGCAGGCAAAGGAAAAAGGGAGATATGGTCTGTTGTACTATTACTGTTTAGCAGAAGAAAACAAACTAGTTCAGAGAAGAGTACCTGCCTCCACTCCCACCCCTAGCTCTTAGCTTTAAAAGAAATGCCTTTACTAGACTTCCTAGAGAGGATCTGGGTGGGATGTGTCCATCCCCTGTGCAAAGGAGAATTCTACCTGATTGCCTTGAGGCTGGGTCTCAAGCCAACTGGTCTTCAAACAGGATTTACACCATCAACAGTGAAACTTCACATCGTTTACAAGATTTTCTTATACTAATTGGTGCTCCGAGATTGTTGGTATAGAGGGCTTCTGCACTGCATGGACTCAGACTACTGTGCCTGGCGAACTCTTGTGTCCAGTTGTTATCGATATCCACCTTCACTTGGACTACCCTATGGGTGCATGTCTGAAAACCTCTGTCCGCTGTCCCATTACCTACTCAGACTTCTGCTAACCTAACACCTCAGACCTGTGTCATCGGGAGAGCAGACACACGTGAGTAAAGTACACGAGCTTTACTGTGACCCTGTGTTGACTGCCTAGAGTCCTTTTTCTGACTTCTGTCTGTGGCTTGTGCCACATAGAAGGGTCAACCTAATATCTGAGCCCACATAGATTATTGACTCTGGGGTCAAACCAGGCAGATTTTACCATTAGAAAGACCATGGGTGCATCCCATCTCCACCTCCTTAAGGCTTTCCTGGCAGGGGGAGCTGGTACTGGAGCCAAGAGTATTCTGGCCCCCGGTGGAAAGAAGGCCCCTGCCAACAACATGTCTGCTCCTGAGAGCTGGGCCATGGGTTCTGGCTCGGACTAGACCCACAGTGAAAAGCAAAGTTGCTCATCACCTCCTATATATAACTTACTATGTCAACTTCTCTCTCCTCTCCTAGAATATACGTCCGATGAAGGCAAGGACTTTATTTTGTTCTTCTAGATTCCAGTGAATGCATAATAAGTGTTCTGTTAATGTTTGTTTGGTGAATGACTGCATGAACAAACCAAAGCACTTGCTCCCATCATGCCCTCTATCCCTGTTCCCAGGCAGGACCCTCTCCTGGGTCATGTTTAGGCCTGGAGGGCCCTCAAATGCCAACTGACGTAAGTGGGTGGTGGGCATTGCTCAGTTTCATGATAGTCCAGACTGAGGGAGGTTATTTTTCCAGCACACCGAGTCTTGACATTTAGACTGCTCTTGATGACATCTGAGGTCCAGCCCACTCTTTGGGGAGGAGTGTAAACACCCTTCCTCGCTTTTCCAGAGGCCCGGAATGTTAGGAATGCAGCCAGCATCCCTGCCCACTCCCGACACATATCTCACTTTATGTTCAAAGCAATTCATGAAGTGGAGTCTCTCATCATGTTGCTTTATATGAAGAGACCAAGTCAACTATTTGTTATTCACTCAACGGATATTTATTAATGCCTCCTGCTGCCGGTCTGTGACAGCATGCCTGAGGACCAGGCCACGTGATGCCAGAGGCCGCAAGACCTCCCTGCTGCTCTCTTCTGAATCACTGTTGCCACCTTAGATGTAGAGGAGGTGGGAGGGGAGGCCATGTTTCCTCCCCCTCATAGAAGGAGACCAAGCCGGGCACAGGGTATTACCTCCACCAGCCCGTGACTTAGGCCTGCTGGGGAGGGGTCTAATGGGCCTGATCACAGCTTTCCTTGCACCAGTCAGCCTCTAGCAATTCCTGAGAGCAACTCTTCCCAGGAAGGAATTTGGGGGGGCAATTCCCCCCACATCGTGGTCTGCAGGGACAGGGCAGTGTGGTCAGAGGCCCTGGTCTTGCCCTTGGCTAGACAACAACTGGCCAGGCACCTGGCCCAGGTCTACAGTTTCCTTTACAGCCGCATCTCGGGGGCAGCCACTTTTCTCCGGGTCCTGAGGTTGCCGTGGGCAGAATGGGGCTCCCTCCTGTGTGCTGTGGAAGTGGCCTTCCACCTTTCCCCCTGGGCAGTTCTTGCAGGGAGGAGGTTAAGGCTCAGATAAGTCAGACTGCCTATGTGGGAAGGGCACTCACCAAACCAGACAGCCTGTGCCTCAGATAACTCAACCCTACAAGGGGGAGAAGTGTGTCTGCTACTGTAGTGTCAACTGATGTCCATTTCTGTTTCAGACGGAAGTTGTCAACACCATGTGTGGTTATGGAGTTATCAAAGAGGAGGTACTGTCTTTGAACTCGCACTTCTCTGCAAAATTTGCTTTTCTGTTTGGTCCTCTAGTGGTGGGCTCCTGGCTGCTGAGATTTCCCAACATTCATGATGTGAGCCAGGGACTCCTGGGGCTTTCCACCCCATTCCAGGCACAGATAAGTTCTGAGCTCGGGGAGCCAAGACCTTCCCCCCACCACCCGCCCCAGATGGGAGACCACCTGCCAGGGTTTGCTGATCATTGACTGTGTGCTTGTCCGGCGAGGTCCCATGTCCTTGCCAGTGACCCCTGTGTCAGGTCCTCATCCCGCCTCTGGTTTGCTTCCTGCGCAATGACCCTGGATCAGGAAAGTAGCTTCAGTGGTGCCGAGACGGGAGCTAAAAGGACTTGAGTTGTTTCTGTGTAGTGGTTCTCAAAGTGAGGTCCTTGACCTTGAAACTGGTCAGAAATGCACCCCCTTGGGGTGTGACACACATTTATGTTGAGACGTGCAGACCCATGGTGTCCTCAAGCCATCAGACACAATGGCCAGTTTTTATAATAAACATTTGGGAAGGCCCTGAAAGTGACAGACCATACAGCTCACTTGTGCACCTCATTTCAAAACAAGTTAACAGTGACCTAGTGGAGGCAAAAGGGAAAGTAAAATGAACTGGCGTACCTCCATGGGCCAGTGCTGGGGGGCCGATACTCAACCACAGGGGCACAGTGAAACAGTCAGGTGTTGGCTTGAACTGGGCCGCTCTTACCTGGGCTGGGGATGTTGTGTTAGCAACCTGCATACCTTCTTCCTCTTGATACATTTTTTGAAAATGATGGTTCTTGATAAAAGTCAAACAAAGTAGAATCGCTTCCTGATTTGCATAAGTATATTTTTTGCAAAATTCAGTATGTATTAAAACCACACAGAAAATACCATGGTTTTTATGTGTCTCTGGAACTAGGCTTTTGCCTCACATATTAATGGACTTGCTTTCACCCACATAAAGCCTGGGGGGTATTTGAGAGGTAGGCAGGCCATTGTGGGGTAGGATTGTCCTGAGTGCTACAGTCTCCCAGCCCCAATCACTGTGACACCCAGAAATGCCACATAGTGTCCCTAGTCATCTGCCAAGAGCCAGTGGTCTAGAGCCCAGGGGTCCCGAACCTGACATTGCATGTGAAGAACTGAGGCCCAGAGCTGCTGAGAGGCTCACTGTGGGCTCAGCTCGGCTCCTCCCTCGCAGCGCCTCAGCGTGCATCACATCATCTACGTGCGCGGCTGCACCAACGCCGTGCTCATCTGGTTCATGGACAACTACACCATCATGGCCGGCCTCCTGCTGGGCATCCTGCTCCCCCAGGTGGGCACTCACCCAGGGAGGGAGCTGGAGGTGGGCGGTAGGCAGGCCACGGGCTCAGACAGTGTGGCGGGGAGATCTCAGAAGTCAGAGAAGGAACCAAGGGACAGTGAAGGAGACTCTTGTCCCAGTGAGCTGGGCTCACCTATGGCGGGCTGGAAGGAGAGGGCAGCTGGCAATAGCATGGCTCAAGCAAATATCTCCTCCAAGTGGCAGGCAGGTGCTGTCCCCCTCAAATTCTCCAGTGTTAGCATTGTCACGCCCACTTTACAGAGGAGGAAATTTGAGCTCAGTAAGCTCAGGTGGCTTGCCCAGGATTTCCCAGAGAGTGAGTGGCACAGCTGGGGTGGAGGTGGGAAGTGCAGAGTGGAGGGGCCTCCGCTGACAGGGCGCAGAGCTGGTCTCTCGGCCTTCGTGGTTGGGGTGGGGGTAAGGTGGGCAGAGGAGGCCCAATCTGGGGCTGCTTAGGTAGCAGGGACAGCCCAGATCCCAGCAGGCTCTCACCTGCACTTCTCTCAGTTCCTAGGGGTGCTGCTGACGTTGCTGTACATCACCCGGGTGGAGGACATCATCAATGAGTACTTTGTCACCGATGGGCTCCTGAGGTCTGGGGCCAAGTCCAGCATGGAGGAGGCAGGCGCCGGATGCTGCATGTGCTACCCCAATTAGGGCCCCAGCCTGGGGCTGCAGCTCCGGCAGGTTGTACTGGCCAGCCCCTCCCAGGCCACACCGTGGGGGCTGGACAGGCAGTGGCCCATTGCTCCCAACTCAATCCTGACCAAAGCCCTGGCTGTTTGCCATGGTGTCTGCTCAGAGGCCTCACAGCCTTGCCTCTCAGGGGGGTGGGGGGGCATGGAGCCCTACCCCTCCTCCGCTCCAGGATCTGTGCCCACCATGAGCTCCGCTGGGCGTGGGGAGCGGGGAGGCCCTGCTGCAGGCCTGGACACTGCAGTCAGGAACTCAGTGCTCAGCTCAGGGCCCATTTCACTTCTGTCAGTGCCTTGGCCTGTGGTGGCTACACATCCTTGGGGACAGTCTTGTAGTAATTTGCGAGCAGGGAAAGACGAGAGCATATGTGCCCCATAATGATGGAGGGATGGGGTCCAGCCTCTGGGACCCTCATTCCCTCAGCCATGCTTCAGATGCCCCTTTGGGTCTCCCAGGTGCCTTGAAGTTCTCCAAGGGCCACTGCTTTTGCAGACCCTATTTTTTTATGTGACTTTTGTATACAGTTAACAGGAGTTTCTGACTAATAGAAGTTGGATGTTTCCCTATGACCCTGCTCTTGCCCTTCCAAGTCAGTTTGTTAATCAAACATTAAAAATGTGGGGTTTTTTGTTTTGTTTTGTTTTTGTTTTTGTTTTTTGGTCTTCCACTTGCTTGTTGGGATGGGGAGGGGATGAGGAAGGCCTCAGCCTGGGCTAGGAAACTTCGTGGTGCAAGGATTGAAGGAGGTTAGCCTCAGGTCAAAAAAAATTTCTTGAAGAAATTTATTTATTTATAATAAATATAAATATAAATCTTGAAGATTTATTTATTTATACACACAAGAACTGGAGTACAGACCAGAGGTGCGGGGGGTGAGAGGATTCACCCGAGACAGAGTAGGGAGCAGTCTAGGCAGATCTACTGAAATACACTGCTGAGGGGAGCAGCAGGTGAGACAAGAGTGGTCTGCCACACCATGTGGGTCACCTCCCTGATTGGGGATTGAACCCATGCTGCAGTGGCTGCTAATAGCTTCATGGTATGCGCTTTAACCCCTTGCACTACCAGGGAGGGCCAGGCCAAATTTTTGGCATAGTTGGGGACACTGAGGCCGAGAATTAGCAGCACACCTGGCTATAGACTCCCAGTTTTGAAAGGCCTCTCCCATTCTGGTGGTATTGCTACTTAAGGAAGTGATTTCCCATCCATGCTTGTGGGCTGGACTTGGGGCCTTCTGCGCCTGCTTCTCTGGCTCAGAATTCACATAGGAAACCTCAGGGCAGAGCTAGCACAAACTGGGAAACTGAGGCTTCTTTTCCAGGAAGTCAGGCAGAAGTCAGGCAGATGGAACTAGGAAAATCAGGGGGTCCAGGAAGGAGCAGTGCACACAGATTGCCTGAGGTGTCAGAGCCAGAGTGACTTTCGCAGCAAGGAGCTTGTACCCAAAGCCTGAGGATCCCAGAGCAGTCAACGCCCAATGCCAAGCAAAACTTGGTGCTGATCGTCCCCTGCTGGAGATCAAGGGACTTGCATGGATCGATCTCATCAAGCCTTCCTAGGAGAACTTAAGCCAGGATTTTCTGTGAGGTTCTGTTAGGTAGGACAGTAGCAATAAAGTAGCAAGTCCTTTCAACATGAAGAACTCAACATTGTATGTTAAGGGCATTGTCTTAACACCCAGAAGTTGAGTCGCTGGATGTTTGTTCTGCCACATGTACCAAACTGCCTTGAGTTGCTAGATGTGGTGCAGGAAGGGGCTGGAGAGGGGTCTTCAGCTGGACAGAAAGGGCAACAAGAGCAAATATATCAGTGAGCAGCCATCAGGAACTTGTCTAAACATAGATGTCTAAATGTAGATATGAACTTTCATTCTCACAGCTGTGTATGGTAAGTCACATTTCCATCTTATTGATGGAGAAACTGAGGCACAGAGTGATTAACTGCCCAAGGCACACAGCTGGTAAGTGACCAAGCCTTACATGGACACATGGCACCACATGGAACTTGGGGTGCATAGCTGCTGCGACTCTCCCCATGGATGGCCACGGGCTGCCTTCGGCAGCAAGATGAAGCATCAAGTTGGGGGAGGGGAGCTGCTGGGTCTGCTTACCCCAAGTCTCGTTACTCTGGAAGCTGGAATCCTGGTCACGTTCTTCCCCCTCTCCACCACCACCCCACACCCTCGGCCTCACACTGTGCTCACGTGGAGCTAGGCTCGTGGCTGCTGCTCCCAGGTGCAGGGCCCTCGTGGGCGTCACCGCTTCTTTCTGGACCTCAGCCTCACACCTCTCCAGAAAGCAGAACAGAACACCCCCCGGGTTGGGGGTGCCTCTGTGACTGCTGCCCTTTGTGCTGCAAACCCACCAACATCATCACACCTGAGCCCTAATGTCACTCACAAGGATGGAGAGGGACCCTCAAAACTAGTCCCCACACTAGGGTACGCAATGGAAATGAGTGAGTGCCCCTCACAGTATTGTGACACTAGAGACTGTGGGCTGGGATTTTGGGCTTTCGTGTTCTATAAGAAAAGCAAACAAAATAGCTTAAGGAAGACTGGTTTTGTATAAAAATGAACAATATAGGAAATATATTTGTCATAAAGTGCACATCAGTCTATCAGTGAAACCATCACCACAATCAAGATAATGAACATCCATTAGCCTAGAAAATGTCCTTCTACCTCTTAGCAATTTCCTTTTTTAAAAGATTTATTTATTTATTCATACAGAACTAGGGTACAGGCCAGAGGTGCAGGGGCATTGAGAGGCTTCACCAGAGACAGAGTGGGGAGCAGAACAGGCAGATCGACGAAGTACACTGCTGAGGGGAGCAGCGGGCGGGTCAGGAGAGGTCTGCCACATCATGTGGTCACCTCCGGGGCAGAGATCAAACTCATGCTGAAGTGGCTTTGGCTTCTCAGTGCTGTGTTTTACCCAGCTCCACAACCAGGGAGGGTCCAGTAATTTCCTTTTTATAGTCTTCCCTCCACCTGCCATTGAGGCTTTGGTAGAAATTGCACTGAATCTGTACATTACGTCATTTGATCCATGGCCATTTGAATGATGTTAATTCTTCCAACCCAAGAGCAAAGAATATTTTTCTGTTTATGTCATCTACATCTTTTAATCATGTCTTATAGTTAACTGAGAATTTTAACAATGGACTTTGGATTTTGTCAATGCTTTTCCTGCCTATAAAAATGTGTCAACAGGCTCTCCCTGGTGGTGCAGTGGGTTAAAGCACTGCACTAAGAAACTTAAACCACTTCCGCATGAGTTCGATTCCCGCCTGCCCCGGAGGTGACCACATGGCGCGGCAGACCTCTCCTGACCCGCCAGCTGCTCCCCTCAGCAGTGTACTTTGTCGATCTGCCTGTTCTGCTCCCCGCTCTGTCTCTGGTGAATCCTCTCACCCTCCGCATCTCTGGCCTGAACCCCAGTTCTATATGAATAAATAAATAAATCTTTTTTAAAAATGTGTTAACATGGTGAATTATGTTGGTTGACTATCAAATGTTAGATCAACCTTTTATTCCTGGAGTAGGCCTCACACGGTCAAGCCCTGTTGCCCATTTAATATGCTGTTGGATTGGATCAGCTGAAATTTTCCACACCTATGTCCAGGAGGGAACATGGGCTGTTTCCTTGTAACGTGAGCACTGCTCACAGCCTGGACAAGAGGAGGTGCTGGGAGCATGTTGGGACCCTGAAATGGACATGAACTTGGGCCTCACAATCTTTGAGAGGACCACCTGTTTGGGGGACCCCTCCCCACGCTCCCACAGAGTCAGTCAAGGGCGGCTGCCCTTGTTTTCATGCTTACTATGCACTGGCTCTGGGATCATACCTTTTTACCCCTAAAGGTCCATAATAATGATGCTAAAGAGGCCCTCCCTGGTGGTGCAGCGGGTTAAAGCACAGCACTGAGGAGCTAAAGCCACTTCCGCATGAGTTCGATTCCCGCCTGCCCCGGAGGTGACCACATGGCGTGGCAGACCTCTCCTGACCCGCCCGCTGCTCCCCTCAGCAGTGTACTTCGTCGATCTGCCTGTTCTGCTCCCCACTCTGTCTCTCCACTCTGTCTCTGGTGAAACCTCTCGCCACCCCTGCACCTCTGGCCTGTACCCCAGTTCTGTATGCATAAATAAATAAATCTTAAAAAAAAATAATGATACTAAAGAAAAGGGAGCTGGGGACCCCATGTAGTAGAGGTTCCTCCAGGATTGGGACATATCACACTCCACAGGCCTTGCTCTCCTGCCTTGTGCCAGCCTGGCATTTGAGGTCCTCGTTACCACTCTGGCTACGTGCCTGGCTCATTGCTGCAGTCAGTAGCTCCATGGACTTGTGCAGTTCACTCTTAAATGGCACAGTAGACCACAACTCATCAGAAGGACACAAATTTCAACCCTTTCATGTTCCCCATCTTCCTGAGACGATAATTCTGTGTGGCGGGACTTTTTTATGATAACCCGTTTTTCAGATAAGGAAAGCTGAGGCCAGCATAATTTATAGGTTGTTTGCTAAGAGGTTATGCCAACAACCCAGGGTTGGCTTATTCCAACCCCCTGCGCTGACAACCACCCTCCTGTGGTCTGTGCACTGAGCAGAAATATGGGGCGTTTGGCACTGGCACTGTGTCCTGCCTCCCGGGCTCTGTGAACCCTTGGAGGAGAATGATTAGAAGTTCAGAGCATCCACGAAGGCGGGAGTCGTGGCTGTCTGTGGCCACTAGGTGGCGCAGCCACACTGCCTCTTGGAGACCAACTCTTGAACTTGGTCTTCACCCAGACCCTAAATGTGCCTTGTGAGGGAAGGAGAAGATAGAGAGTGGAAGAGTAGGGGGATAGGGATAGAGTGGGGGAGAGAGAGTGAAAGGGGGCACAGAGCTGATTGTGCTTCCCACCCCCTCCCCAAAGGAGCAGGCCAAAAGGGGAAGGAGCCTAAAATATTGTAGCTACCTGTGTAGAGTTGTTGCTTAACTAATAATCGCTAAATGAAAGACCACTCTGTGAACCTGGTGTTGATTATTTTTCCACCTACAGGTTATAACCTAGGAAACTGAGAAGATACTAACAGCAATAGGTTACTGTTAACAAATATTGTTAGGTCACCATGTGTGGGGAGCTGTGCTTAGCACCTTTTACGCTTCCTGTTTAATCCTCAGTAATGAGGCCAGTGCTTTATCATCCCTAATTTGCAGGCAAGGATATTGGAGTTCTTGTTTTATTATTTTCTTTTGAAGTCTTCTTAAATTTTACCCCCAGTTTCTGTTTGGAGGTTTCTCAAACTGCTAAAAATGGAACTTCCATATGACCCAGCAATCCCACTCCTAGGTATCTAAACAAAAGACACAAAGACACTGACTCAAAAAGACCCCCGTGTTTACTGCTGCTTTATTTACAACTGGAAAGACATGGAAACAACCCCAAATGCCAAAAAGTAGATGACTGGATTAAAAAGATGTGGTACATATGCACAGTGGAATATTACTCAGCAACCAAAAATGATAAACACATGCTTTTTGCAGCAACATAGATGAAGCTGGAAAAGATCATGCTTAGTGAAATAAGCTAGAAAGAAAAGGAAAAACACTGGATGGTTTCTCTCATAGCAGGAGTATAATGGACCAGGTGAG